AACCAGGGCGTCATGGGTTGCTTGTAACTCCTTCGTCTCCAGCCGGCTCTGGTTCAGGGCTGATCGGGCTTCTCGAAGTTGTGCCTGAGAGCTGGATTCAGTGTTTGACTGGCTACGCACCTGCTCCTCACAACGTGCACTCAACTCCATTGTCCAGATGGTAAGACGAGCATTCGCCTCCTCCTGGTCAGCCAGACGAGCTGCCAGCTGATTGGCGTGCTCCTCGATAGCTAGCCAATCGACCAACGAACGCTGTTTCACATCACCGACACCACTGGAACCAATCAGGACACGTGATACAACACGAATGAGGACGTAGGTGACAAAGGCGGAGAAGAGGAAAAACCACCAGGCGACCAGAAAACTTAGAGGTACGCCAAGAATCGTGTAAAGGAAGTTGTCAGCCATTTTGACATGATTTGGGGAAATAAAAGTGAGCGCCTTCTCAGCCAAGGTAATGAAATTATCCGAAAGGAAGAGGGTAAAACTCGAAAGAGCAGATTTAGAGGTCACAAGGTTTGTGGGAAGACTGCGGTTAGCAGACTGGAGCAGGCACTGAATAAAACCAGAGTATATTAGTCGTCGCGAACTATTTTCCGATGGCTCTACCAGATCCTCAGGCAGATGCGGAGAGTCAGGAGAATCTAGAGACTGGGGAGAAGGAGAACCTTTGTCAGCGGTGGCACCTTGCGTGTGCCCACTTTCGATGTTGGTTGGTTTATCGAGTAATGGTTCATTAGTAGTAAGCACCTTGACATTTTGCAGGTCTTCGTAACTGGGTGAACTCCCTGTGGGAGCAGGAGTATGGGGTGACGAGTTTCCCTGACCAGATACAGAGGAAGAGTGGCTTTCGTTTGCTTCTGAAATGTGTGGACTAGCTGGATCGTTGTTTTCAATAGGCAACCTGTCGGACGATTTAGACTCGGTAGATTCAGACGACGGGGAAGGGCCAGGCTCTACTTGGTCTTTTTCGTGGCCACCACCAGTAGGAGCTTCCGAAAAATTAGTAGCAATCGGCTCTTCCACTGGCTTGGAATCATCAGCAGACGGAGCTTGACTGGTGGGCGGTGGTGGTGATGGTGGTGACAGCCGCGGCTCCGAATCTGAAGATTGTGGCTTTTCGCTTGGTTCAGCAGAAGTGGCCTCCTCTTTCGGTTTCTGGTCGGATATTTCAAGGTTACTCGACTCAGGCGATGGCTCGGGAGTACCTGAAACTGTTGACCCGGGAGCATGCTCGGAGGTCAAAGTTTCTGCGCCTTGCTTTTCAACGGAAGAACCAGCAAGTGTGCCTTCATGCGGTGGCTCATTTTGTTTGGTAGAAGGTGTCTTTTTCACAGAGGATTGAGCTTCCGAAGGCGGTGATGGTTGGTCAGTTTTTTCTGCAGACTGTGACTGTCCGACTTTAGTAGCATTCTCAACTGGCACGTGATTGACCGGTTCAGGGTGATTAGACACAGACCCGTTGGCAACAACAGAACCAGCTGAGACCGGCTCTGTTGGGACAGACTCAACATGCTTTTCTCCTGTAACGACGGCATCTTTCTCCAGCAGTTTAACTTTCTCCTGCAGCTCTTTACTGGCAGGTGACGGCTCCTGAGCTGCCTTAGTAGACGTTGGCGTGGAAGCAGACGCCTGCATGGTGTTCTCCGCTTCTGAATTGTCCATCTGCTT